GTATTGCAGATTGTGTACATAAAAATAAATCTCTGCCTAGAAATCTATTCAATTGCTAAAGTTTTCTGTCAATTTTCTGCTCAGATGATAGTCACATCAAATGCTATCATTGATTCCATCTCTGATCAGTGAAACTCAGTGGTTAGAGCACTGACAGACACACACACACACACACACACACACACACACACTATAACATTTCATTCTAATTGCAAAAGTGTATCTTCAATGTGCATTCCAAAGAATGAAATGTTAAGAGACATAGAAGAGAGAATAAAAAACCCCCTCAAACAAAGATAGGAAGAAAAGAACACAGATTAGAAATTTTCAAAAGTCACTTAAATGAAAGACTACAAACTTAAATCAATGGATTTAAGAAGCCAAGAAAAACTCAAACTTATAAATGAAAGAAAAACCCAGACCTGAAAACATTATATTGAAGCTGTGGAAAATCAAAAACAAAGAGATTTTAAAAGTAGCTGGTAGAAAAAAGAAATGTACTTTAAAATGTGAGACTGAGCTTACTTCTCTACAGCAATAATGGACAGAGAAATAATATCTTTATGTGCTGAAAGAAAACACTGCTAACCTACAGTCCTATGTATAAGGAAAATATTCTTTAAGAATGAGCTTAAAATATTTTTATAAAATCACATTAGAAAGTTCACTAAAAATATTTTTAAATGATGTACTTTAGGCAAAAGGAAAGTGATCATAAATTTGGAAGGTCTATGATGAAAGAAGGAAGTACTATAAGGGCAAATAAGGTAGCATATATCTGAATAAAATATTCTAAATAAAAATGCAAGTATAAAATTACTATAATTTCCAATAATTTTTATTTTTGCTTTTTTATTTTTATTTTTTAAATTTTATTTTATTGTTTAAAATATTACACATAGTAATACATATATCTCCTTTTTCCCCCCATTGACCTTCCCCTGGCCTCCCCTATCCCTTGTTGCATGCCCTCATCCTAACCCACCCCCAGAGTCTTGTGTCCATTGGTTGTGCTTATATGCATGCATACAAGTCCTTTGGTTGATCTCTTTCCACCCCTCCCCAACACTCCCCAGCCTTCTCACTGTAATTTGACAGTCTGTTTGGTACTTTACTGCCTCTGTATCTTATCTTTTAGTTCATCAGGTTATAATGTTTTTTTATTTTCCATAAATAAGTGAGATCATATGGTGTTTTGTTTGTTTGTTTTTCATTGCCTGGTGTATTTCACTTAGCATAATGCTCTCCATTTCCATTCATGCTGCTGCAAATGGTAAGAATTCCTTCTTTTTTACCTCAGTGTAGTATTCCATTGTTGTAGATGTACCACTGGTTTTTAATCTACTAATCTGCTAATGCACATTTAGGCTGTTTCCAAATCTTAGCTATGGTGAATTGTAGTGCTATGAACATAGGGGTGCATATATCCTTTCTAGTTTCTAGTTTCTTGGGATATATTTCCAGAAGTGGTATTACTGGGTCAAATGGGAATTCCATCTTTAGTTTTTTGAGAAAACTCCAAAATGTTCTCCATCATGGCTGCACCAGTCTGCATTCCCACCAGCAGTGTATGAGGGTTCCTTTCCAATAATTTTTAATAAAATAAGAGAGAATTAAAATTCATGGCTTGGTAACAAATGTTACAATGGGAATAAAATAAGAAAACTTTTCTAAGATACTTACTTTGCCCAGAAGGATGATAAAGGTACTAATCAATGTTTTTAGCTAACTTAAGATGCATGTTGCCTAAACCGGTTTGGCTTGGTATATAGAGCATCGGCCCACGACTGGACGGCCCTGGCTTCGATTCCGGTCAAGGGCATGTACCTTGGTTGCGGGCACATCCCCAGTGGGAGGTGTTCAGGAAGCAGCTGATTTATGTTTCTCTCTCATCAATATTTCTAACTCTCTGTTTCTCTCCCTTCCTCTCTGAAAAAAAAAAATCAATAAATATATTTTCAAAAAAGATGCATGTTGCATGCATTTGGATAATAAATAAAACTATAGAAACAGAATAATTAAATTCACAACTAGTAGGAAAAAAGTGAATTAAAGAAGTAATCCATCAATCTAAAATAATAAAAAGAAAAAAGAAAATAAATAGAAAATACAAAATAAAATGTATATTTGTATCCAAATATGCCAGTTGTTATAGGAAATATAAATGGATAAAGTGCTAAAAGTTCTGAGTAAAATAGAAAAATCATCAGACTTTCTGGGAAAAAATAGAATATAAGTACATGCTCTTGAAAAGAGATGCTAACTCATATCTATTTCTCTGAATTTTTTTCCATCTCTAGATCTCTATATTAGTTGCACAAATTAATCCTCCTACCTGGAATGTCTACAAATGCTTATCAAATTGATCATTTTCTTTATATCTGGAAATCATAGCTAAAATATCACCTTCTTTGAGATGCCTTGCTGAAACACTTGGAGGTCAGTCCTCCTAAGTGTTTATTCAATTATTTACTTTCTGCCCTAGAAGAGTTTGTTTTACTTCAGTTTTATAAATTAGTTATTTGTATGTCTGCCTATTTTATTAGGCCATAAACTTATAGGCAGACAGGATGTTTTTCTAACCATTCATTTCTTAAAAATTCATAGCAGTTATATAGGAAGAAGTAAAAACATTAAATTGAAGCTCAGGCAGTGTTGCTTAGTAGGTTGAGCAACATGCCATACACCAGGATGTTGCCCTGGTTACAGGCTTGAGTCCCAGTAGAGGATGTGCAGAAGGCATCCCATCAATGTTTCTCATCCATGATCCTTTCTTCCTCTCCCTTCTTCCTCTGAAATCAATAAAAAAGTTCTTTAAAGAAAAAAATCACATTAAATTCTTAAATAAAACTAGAATTAGAAAGACAGTTTAAAGATATTTGTTAAAAGAAGCAAGAACTTCTTTCAACAAATAGTTAATTGGCAGTGAAAAGAGCAATAGTATAGAATGCATCATATATATATATATATATATATATATATATATATATATATATATATATAAAACTAAGCAACCAATATGTCCAGACAACCGGCAGGTAGCTATGATGCACACTGACCACCAGGGGAAGATGCTCAATGCAGGAACTGCCCCCTGGTAGTCACTGTGCTCCCACAGTCACCCTCTCACAGTTCCTCCCCCTGATCAGCCCCAATCACTGACCAGGCCGAGGGACGCCACCTGTGCACAATTTGTGCACCAGGCCTCTAGTGCCTAATAATAGACAAACATGTAAATTGACTGTACCTCTACTACACCCTCAGCCAAACAGAGTGAGTATGCAAATTAACCCAACAAAGATGGAGGCTAATTTGCATAGTAGGCATCCAGCAGCCTGGATTCCTGGAATTTTTCTCAGCACCCAGGTCACTCCAAGGTAGGCCCCTGTGGGTCCTGAGCAACCTGAGAAGGGCCTGAGCCAAAGGGATCCTGGGCAGGGGCGGAGCCTGGCTATTGGAGGGAGCTTGGGGTCCGTTGTGATCATAGGGAGCTGGGGATGTCCTGCCCAAGCCCCAAGCCAGGACCAGATTCTTGGGGCCTGGGCAGGGGTGGAGACTAGTGATTGGAGAGAGCTGGACGTCCCCTGCTGAGGCCCCAAGCACCGGCCAGAGGGTTGAGGACTGGGCAGGGGAGAAGCCATTGATTGGAGGAGCCGGTGATCTGAGGGATCTGGGTGGCCCTTCCCAAGCCCATGGGTTTTAGGCCTTGGCAGAGGCAGAGGCAGAGATCGGAGGGGATTGGTGTAAACTGAAGAGGAAACACCTTTTCTGACTGCTCATTGGCTAAGCTCTCTGTATGCCACTGGTAATATTCTTAGTAACTTGGGTATAAGAATCCAAAAAGGTGATCCACCGCACTTCTGGAGAAAAAAACAAACAAAGGTCTGTTGCTAGAAGGATAAGAAATTTCATATCCTGCTGTAGCCAGTTTGGCTCAGTGGATAATGCCTAGGCTTGCCGAGTGCAGGTCTGGTTTGGTACTGATCAAGGGCATGTACTTAGGTTGCAGGCTCCTCCCTGGCTGGGAGCCAGGTAAGGACTCATGCTGGAGGCAACCAATCAAAGTGTTCTTCTCACCTTGGTGTTTTTATCTTTCCCTTTCTCTTCCACACTCTTTAAAAGTCAATGGAAACATATCCTCAGGTGAGGATAAAAAAAAAAAAAAGAAAGAAAAAGAAAGAAAGAAATGTCATATCCTATGAAAGACACATCTTTAAAATGACCAAAGAAAGTTGTCATTTTTTCTTGGTGAAAGAACTGGAGTCTGTGTTGATGAAAACACCTTGGTAGCTGTGGTGACTGGCAGTGGCTGCAGCAGTGGGGTGATGGGGCTGGTGCCGTCCCCTGATCAGCTCAGTCACCTCAGTAGGACATTCACTGAGGGCCCCCAGTAGGTTAGAGGGGTCAGTCTGGGCAGAGGGCCCACCCCCATGCACAAATTTTGTGCACCGAGCCCCTAGTATGGAATAACAAGAAAAGAATATGAGACAGGGAACATTTGGTATTTTGTTGGAAGGGATAACAGGTAGAGCTGTACAGTTTTGTATTGTACAGCTCAAGAGGTTGCTATAAATACTTAATCAAGGACCTGATTGTGTTCTTCAGTGCAATCTTGAGTGGTCACATACAATTTCTTTAATTAAATAAAGTCCATTGTTAGCACCCAGGAAGTAATTGTCATTAATTATGAACATTTGGAGTAATTAAGAAAGAGCTATAATTTGACTACTCTAAATAAGGAGAGAAGTATGTAACATCTTTTAAAATCTTCCTATCAAAAACAAATACAGTAGGTATGAAGTGTAGCAAGTTTTAATTACATGGAAAAAATCACAGTTAAGCCAGATAAATGAACATGTTGCCATGGGTTGAAAACCACATTCACCGGTAGTACAATGAGTAAAGTTTTCTTAAGGTTTACATGTGGTATTGTGACCGGCAGTCAAATAAGTTCAGGACAAATAATTGAGAAAATAAATGTGGATACCTTGTTATTGCAGATCCTCCTGCTGTGGAACCAGCGTTTTTGGAAATCCGTCAAGGACAAGAGCGAAGTGTCACTATGAGCTGCCGGGTTCTGAGAGCCTATCCCATACGGGTACTGACCTATGAGTGGCGCTTAGGCAACAAATTATTGCGGACAGGTCAGTTTGACTCTCAAGAGTACACAGAGTATCCGGTGAAGAGTCTTTCCAATGAAAACTATGGGGTTTATAACTGTAGCATCATAAATGAAGCTGGAGCGGGGAGATGCAGCTTTCTTGTTACAGGTAAGATTCAAATACTTTGTGCATATATATATATATATATTAGATCAAGGAATCTTAAGCTTATGCCAATATAAGAATGAAAGAATTTTGAAAATTTATGAAGCATACTATGAGCAGCTCAACTGTTCTGGTTAGAAATCTATTCATTTGTTTTGATGGAAAGTTTATTTTAGAAGTTAAGATAGTTTATGTGTCTATAAATTAAACAGAAGTTTATGTGAATTCAAGTAGAGTTGGTTGTAAGATTAGTTAATTAGCTTTATTTAAACAAAATTACAGATGTTAATGAATACATATTTTTTTAAATATATTTTATTGATTTTTTTAACGGAGAGGAAGAGAGAGGGATAGAGAGCCAGAAACATCAAGGAGAGAGAATCATCGATCAGCTGCCTCTTGCACACCCACTACCCGCCACCAAGATACATGCCCTTGACCGGAATCAAACCTGGGATCTTTCATTTCACTGGCTGTCGCTCTATCCATTGAGCCAAACCGGTTTCAGCATGAATACATATTTTACTCTGCAATTCTAAAATCCCTTGGGAACCAACACCTGGTTGATTTCTTAATAGCAAAAGAGTTTCTTTTTTATAATTTGTTCTTAATTATTTATCACTCTTAATTTGTGGTAAATTTCTATTTTGTCTTTGACTTATTTTAAATTTATAAACAAATGGAAAGCAGTAAAGTTATATTGTGTATAATGAATTAGAAGTATCAACATTTTTGTTATTTTTTTCCATTATTGATTAAGATATTATATTGCTTCCCCACCCCCATCATACCCTCACCCCTCTGGTATCTCTATCCATTGGTTAGGCTTATATGCATGCATACAACCCTTTGGTTGATCTCTCCCCTTTATTATTTTTTAATGTATTAAATGTCAAGTCTGTGCTAAAACTCAGCTATATATTTAAATTATTTTTATTATCTATATACTGATATAAATTTGAGTGTGTTTTTTGTTAGTTTTTTTTATTCTCACCTGAGAATATGTTTTTATTCATTTTAGAGAGAGAGAAAGAGAGAGAGAGAAATATCAATGTGTGAGAGAGACATTGATCTGTTGCCTCCAGAATGGGCCCCAACTGGAGGTGGAACTAACAATCTAGGTTTGTACTCTGACTGGAATCAAACACACAACAGTTTTTTTGATGTATGGGATAATTCTCCAAACAATTGAGCCATCCAGCCAGGACCAATTTGTGTTATTTTTTAGATAGGGTTGAGAAGTACAAAAAAGAATATATTCCTTTTCATTATTATTTTGTCCTAGTAAATACATTTACAATAGCTGAAGTGTTTATGTTTGTCAAAGAAGAAACCAGACATTGTATGTAATCTAAAAAGCAATTGTAAAAATTATGATTAAAGTTTTTCAGACTTCACTAAAACTTCTTCATTGGTAATATCAATTTTTGTTAAAAAGATCTTATAAGAAAAATCTCTAAATATTAATAATTTAGACATCTTTGCTTCCTGAAATGTAATATTAGGTAGATAAAATATAATTACTTGACCAAAGATGTCCTATTTGCAGAGTATTATTACCTCTTAGTTTCCAAACTCTTTTTATTAACAGTCTGTTGAACTTAAAAGATTTTCAACATTGATTCTTAAAGTAAACTATTATAACAAAACGTAAAGTTCCTAAGACAATATTATTTACATGGTGATTCTAATTTTTATCCCTAGGAATATTTAAAAGGGAAAATAATGTAATCAATTATTCTATAGCATAATTTAAGTGACATAATGTAATTTCATTCATTCTATGTCTATGTATTATTTTCTCAAAGAAATATGAATCACAAAGATAATTGTTTTTTAGTTATTGATACATACGGAGCATCAGCCTTTCTTAACATGCCAAAAAAGACTGCTCTATAAAATTAATCACATCCCTTTCTTAACCTTTGGGATCATATACACATTCTAATTTTCCTCTATATCTCTGTTTTCTAACTTCAGTCTAGTTTAGACTATGCTGACTGCAAGATTTTCATTCACTCTTATTATGTGATACAAATCCTATTTTTTGAACTAGAAAACACGCTGAGACCAGAAGGAAAACTAGCTCCATGTTCCCCTTTTGGAACGATAGGGTGCAATAAGTAGATTTTGAAAGTTACAGAAAGAAATAAATCTGTTATGGGTCGCCCTACAGAGGGAGAGGAAATGGCCCCTTGTATTAATTTGTTTCCAGTGTGTGTTTTTACTTTTCAGTCTTCAGATCAACCTCATTATTTCAATATCTTCACATACAATCTAAAATAGTTTTGAAGAAAGAAAGGGAAATGATTGAATTCAAAATATAGTATAATCGGAAGAAATAGATTTAAAAGCAATTTCATAAAAACAGAGACTAGAAGAAACTTTGAAAGGCCGTTACTTCTTCTAAAACATATCAGAAGTAATCATTATGGATGTCCTAAATGCTGGCGAGGGAGAACTGGGTGTGACCAGGCAGCAAGGTGGTGGGGGGAGAAGTGAGGGTGACCAGGCCAGCTAGGAGGCACCAGGTGGGCAGAAGGGGTAATCTGGGTGTGACCAGGCTGGTGGGGGAAGGGGGAGAGAGTTAGGAGCAATCAGGCTGGCATTGGGGCAGTTAGGGGTGATCAGGTAGGCAGGCAGGTGAGTAATTAGGAGCCAGTGGTCCCGGATTGTGAGAGGGATGTCCCTGTGGAATCAGGCCTAAACTGGCAGTTGGACATCCCCAGAGGAGTCCTGAATTGGAGAGTGTGCAGGCTGAGTTGAGGGAACCCCCACTCCTGAGCACGAATTTCATGCACTGGGCCTCTAGTTAATCAATAATTGTATAAAAAAACTGGTTGCCGGAGAAATGAAATTTAAGCCACAACAATACACACACATTATAATGGCTGAAGTTGAAAAGACTGTTAATACCAAGTGTTGATAAGAGTAACTGCAATTATCACACACTGCTTCTGGGAATGTAAAATGGGGTTACTTTTTTGAAAATAGCCGTTAGGCTCTCATGATCTTAAATGTTCACTTTCACTGGTAGATGACTACCCAAAAGAATTTAAACCATGTGTCTACACATAGACTTATGCTACATTGGGTGGTGGACACAATCTGATATATAGCAGCTGTATTTGAAATAACCATTTTGCATTATTTTCATCCATTAGTCATCTCTTCAGGATGATGGACAAAAGCAAAAATATCCATCAATAGGTGAATGAGTAAACATCTTGTGATCTACTCATTCATAAAAGTGGATAGACTAGTTTCCTTTATTAAAAAACAACATGTTAAGTGAACATGAATATCAAAAAACAACATGTTAAGTGAACAGAACCTGACACTGAAATGCATAATTTTTATTCCATTTCTATGAATTTCCTGAAGAGGCAAGAGAAATATTTAGTAATAGGAATTAGATTCTCATTTGGCTATAGTTAATTAATTACAAAGGAGTAGGAGGTAACTTTCTGAACAGATGGAAATCTCCTATATGTGGATTGGTGGTAGTGATTACATAGTTAAATATATTTTTAACATATCAAAAATTGCCCTTAACATGTTTGGATTTTATTATATTTAAACTATATACTTCAGTAAAGTGTTACTTAATAAATATGTGATATTTTTAACTAAAGTAAAGTTGGGATTTGGAGGAATTTCATAATATGAATGGCATTTGTTTATTTAATGCTATAATGTATATAATTTTTCTAATCCATGTTGTGTTAATATATTCAAGATAATTACTAAAAATGTTTTATTCATCAAGAATCCTGTGTTCCATTTTCTTCCCCTAACTTCTAACTTAATTTCCTCTAGACTAAGACACTAACATAAACAGTATTCCCCCTCCCAAGGAAAACTATCATCTTTTCTCAATTATAGTTTAAGAAATAGTGACTGTTACATTAAGAATATAGAATGGTCTAATATGTTGGTAACAGTGACCATGTACACAGTTAAATTAGAAGGATATGAAACAGATTTTGGAGGGTTAAATCTGTAAACAAGACTGCTGGGTAGAATAAAGGGGAGACAGAGATACCAGCATAATAAAGTAGCCACAGGATTCCAAAACTATTTCTCGCATCTTTCTCATACTATTTTGGTCAGGAATTGGATCCAGTGGGTAGAGAATAAGAAGATAACAGACTGAAGTCGTAAATAGTTTTCCCTGAAATAAAACAAAGCTTCATAATATTTACTAACACCAAGAAAGAACAAAACAAAGAAATTAATACAGGAATAAATATATATACTGTATTTTCCAGTGTATAAGATGACTTTTGAAACAAAAAAAAGTCAACCGAAAGACCAAAATTGCACAAAAATTACCTTCAGATCTTGACGGCAAAGTAAATCTTTTCTTTGAAGTGGGCAGTAGTCTTATACAGAGAATATAGGCCTAAACCTATGTTTTAACTGTAAAATTAGGGGATCGTCTTATATGCTGGAAAATACGGGGTGTGTGTGTGTGTGTGTGTGTGTGAGTGTTTATATATATAAACATATATATAATGTGTTTAGTATTTCTATTCCTTTTTAAGAGTTTGTTTAGCACTTTTAGTAGTGCTAAAACAGACTCTTTTGAATTTTTCACTAGATGTTGGGTGGTAATAAAACCAATCAAGGGAAGGATCAGAGAAGCTTTTAGTTCCATGGAATCAAAACCATCTCCCCAACCTCCAAGTATCTATTTAAGGATCTGGCAGAAGTGACTAATGGATGAGAATAATCTAAAACTTGTTCCAAAGACATGCCAGAAACCAGACAAAATGGTCAGTAGAGAGATCCCACTGATGGTTATCCATAAACTGACCCATCCCCTTTTCTCAAGGGAGATTTTGTGATGAAGCCACCAGTTGATAAAGTCCATAGAGGTTTCCTTTTTATAAAAATTTATAAATTTTTTTAGGGTTTCAGACCAGGGTATATAATCAAAGTCTGAGACTTTCACATTACTTAAAAAATCTCCTTCTTTCATCATTCTAATGAGATTCATC